GATACAAAAAATATTTTTTGCAATTAAAATAAAGCAGCCATCTTCCATATAACACACTCTGATCATACAATACCCATCATCTAACAATTTGACCTTAGTTTGATTTACTGGTTTTTATTCAATATATTAGTATGAATTGTACAACTTCATGTGCTTCATTTCTATATAATCTTTGTATATGTTAAACATGAAACAGAGTTGCTATAATACAATAAGATTTTCCGTTCTCAATATTCTTCCAGCATCCCAAATAAATCTTTACAGTTTCCTAATATAAACCGACCTCCTGCATTGCCAAGTGTATTTATATATTGTGTTAATATTTATTTATTTAAAACATTTATATATAGTCACTCTTCTACCAATGGAACACAGGATTCCCAAAGTATCTCAGAGTTAACCTAATCTAGAAAAAACACCCTACTATAGCAGTTTATTTAGTTTATTAACTCATCCAACAAAATAATAATTTTTTTCTAAAGGAAGCATCTCAATTTTTAGCCTTTTTGTGCAGCTAAGACGCTCTGTTTGCAGATCTAAGGGGGTAGGAATATTATCCCAACCCTACGTTTTTTCATACAAGAACACCAACATTTAAGTATAATGAAAAAGGTAAGTTGAATCCTATGTTCATCTAGTTTTACCCAAAATACTCTTAAAAGATTCGTGGTTATAATAGCAGACGGAGAAAATTGTGATATGAACCTTTACCTGCCTGGCCTGAGTAAAGCTGAATCCAGCAGATCAGGTCTGTTTGTAGCTCCAATAACAAATACATCTTGAGAAGAATGAAGCCCATCCAGTTCTGCTAGTAACTGAGATACAACTCTATCAAGGGAAAACATTTTAATATGCTGCCATCAATCTTTGTGGATTCACTGAACTGGGTAACTCACTTAAAACAGCAGGTACACAAATACCTTTTTTAGGCATGTACCCAGCCAGGTTCAAAATATAATAGTAGTAACAGATGTATACTATGAACACATACAATACCATGCCCTCAAAAGCAATTCATGTAGGCAAGATATATTTATACAAAGCATTGTATACCACCTATTTAATATATATCAAGGTAGTTTACAAGGATACAGCAAAACACAAGATTACTAAAATACAATGGTACAAATAGTCCTCGCTTAATGACTAATTGGGACAGGGAATTTCCATTGCTAAGTAAAGTGGTTAGCTGAAACATCATGTGACAGCAGCAGTTAGTGACGGCAGTTTCAGTAGTCTTAGTTTTGGTTGTTGGGGAGGACCTCCCGCTTCTGCCCCGCATGAAATGCCAGCTCCACCCATGGTCATCTCCAGCCAGGCTCAGCAAGCTCCCTTCGGTAGAGAAAGCTCCCCTTACCCTTGCTGTCCCCAGCTGACCTTCACCATCTTCGTCCCACTGTTGGATCAAGGCACAGCCCGAGGGTGGGGCCCTGGGACGTACGTGACAAGTGGAACAGCGTGGTGGAACCTCATTTGTCAAAGGGAGCTTGCTGAGCCTGGCTGAGGAGAAGGCAGGGTGATCGTGTGAGCACTGCTCGCCAAGCCAAGGTGTCAGCACCATCAACCAATTGCCTAGCTCCTGGGCCTGCAGTGGGAGGGAGAAGACAATGAAGGTCAGCTGGGGGTGGTGAGGTGTGGAAGGGGTAGGCGATGGTGGTAGAATGCCAAGGGGGTAGACTTGGAGGGAGATACGTGGGTAGGGGGAGTTGAAGTACATGCTGTGGTCATAAATGTAGCCAGTTGCCAAGTGCCCAAATTTTCATGATGTGACTATGGGGATGCTGAAACAGGCATAATTTCGAGGGTCGTAACTACCATTTGTTCAACACCATCATAACTTCATATAGTCATTGACACATGGTAATTAAACAAGGATTATCTGTGAAATAAAGTGACTCTACAAACTCCGTATCTCTGTGATCAGAGCAGGAATTAAGGACATAAGAGTGTATTCATTGGCTGCATATAGCTTGGGACTCCAGGCTGGCTCTGGTCTGTATAAAAATTCATAGGAAACTATCCTAATAATCATCCCTGCACATTATTTTGCAATGTCTACGTTCTCTTTCAAACAGCAGCCAAGAATTAACTTGAAATAATTCTGTTAATTCTGTTAATGTTTGGAGGTGAATTGAGAAATCCTGGAGATCAATGTTTCTATGCATTAGGATACCCAAAAAGTGAGATGTGAACATGCATTATAGCGGTGATGGCGAACCTTTTAGAGACGGAGTGCCCAAACTGCAACCGAAAATCCGCTTATGTATCATCGGGTGCCGGGTGGGCATGGCCCATTGGGTAGGTGTGGCTGCGGTTGTAACAGCAGATTGGGTGGGACTAAAAAGTTCAATCAATTCCAACTTTGCAAGATCTTTTTTTTCCCGCGAGAAGTTGAAATTGATTGATTGAACCTTTTTTTTTTTTGCACACAGCGGTGGAGCTCTAAAGAGAAAAGATTTTATAAAACCCAGCTGAAGGCCTAGGACTGGGGCGATGGCGCACGTGCCCACAGAGAGGGCTCTGCGTGCCACCTGTGGCACGTGTGCCATAGGTTCGCCACCACGGCATTATAGCATTCTTACAAATGCCCAGCTTAACAGTTGTCAGGTATTACATTATATGTATGAATAATGTATGCACCAACCAATACAGGTAATCCGAGAGTTGTCAACGTTCCCTTAGTGAATGTTCGAAGTTATGCGATAAGCACCCCCTACTGCTTATGAGCAGGCCCCGAAATTACGAATGTTGCCGCACCACAGCAGTCGTTCGCCCTTACGAACGACCACAGTGGCACTGCAACATTCACCATGGTCATTCCCTCCCTCACCTGCCCTGGGTCTCCCTGGGCACTAGGCCAATACTCACCCTGCGAAGATCGAGATCCTTTGCTTTCTTGGTTGCTCCAGGCCTTTGGTAAGTTCGCAGAGAATGGAGGCCTAAAGTAATGCAATATCACGCGAGATCAGTGGTGCAATATCTCACGCTACTGATCTCATGTGATCTCATGGTACTTTAGGCCTCTGTTCTCTGCAACAGAGAACAGAACCGAAGCCAAGGGATGCTTCCGTTTCTTCCAGAAGCTGGATCCGGGCATCGGAGGCCTTTTCCAAGCCACTGCAGCCTGGATCTGAGGCCGGGGGACGCTTCCGCATGCCTCCGGAGGCTGGATCCCGGCATCGGAGGCCTTTTCCAAGCCACTGTTGCTTGGATCTGAGGCCGGGGGGACACTTCCATGTCCCTCCAGAGCTGGGCATTGGAGGCCTTTTCCAGGGCCTGTTCCATCACTAGGCCCTCCATGGCCTTCCCCACCGAGATACCTCAAGTTCACTTAACGAGCTGCATGCATCTTAATGAACAGGGAGTGATCTTGTTCGAGGGACGAGATTCACTCCGAGTTTTTGAGTTACGAATGGAATGGGCAGGCTCCATTACATTACTAACTCGAGGACTACCTGTACTGATTGGAGGAAGGAAATTGATTCAGAATACGGATGTCTAGGTTTTGGAAAAGCCAAATTTATTTCAGTGAAGCTTAAATATTTACAAGTTTTGTGATATTTATTCTTTGCTGCTAAATCTGCTATTTATTAAACAGGCTACAATATAGGTATTAATTGCAACCCCATTGGAGGCCAGCATTTGGTAGAAAGAAAGATGAATACATTTCAACACATTTTAACATGTTCACATGATCTAGAACTAAGTTCAGGCACAAATGATATGTGCATAATAAAATAGATACCCCTGCACTTTTAGCATGTACAATTAAAGGAGGGGGAGGACGCAAGGACCACTTTTTATGGACTGCTTGCCAAGAACGCTACTGAATGCAGATAGGGAAATGTTTTGTGCATGTGTGAATTTTTTAATGTTTTCACAAAGCGAATCACTTGTAAAATCAGTACTGAGCAAGTCAAAACAGGAAGCTAATACCTCATTAGTAACAAGCAGTACTTGCCTGTCCATCACACCCTGTGAATCGCCACTTCGTCCACGACTGGGGGCCAATGAATCAAGCTCATCAAAAAAGATAATGCAGGGAGCAGCTGCCCTAGCTCTGGCAAACACTGAGGAAAGAGATAGTACTCAAGTTGCATATTCACATTAAAGCCAGCAACAAACATACAGTATTAATAAACTAGACTACCACCCAGGGAGAGATGCGTATTAGGACACATGCTGTGATTGTAAGCATGGGAAGATCAGAGTTGGCCACAGAATGTCTGAAAAATAGAGCAACTTGTCTTCTTTAAATTAAACCAACATGGAGACAGGCCTCTTCGATTGGCCCACCTCAGATGACTGATGGACCCAAACGTGTTCCAGAGAAAGCTTGGAGTGTTTCCCAAAGATCTAAGTGGGGTGGGTATGGGTGTGTTCAGCCAAGGCCCTATTTGTTGCATAGAATTGGTGGGTGTTTGGGACCTTGGATCATATTGTTCTGTCCCCCGTCCGACCCACACCCCCCAACCAGTCAGCCGAGGCCTGAAAAACTGCTCAGCACAGCCAAAGACAAATGAATTCTTGGCAGCAACTTCGTAGCTGCCTGCCAAGCCTTTACTGATAATGCACAGCAAACAGAGATAAATCCAAGATAACTTGCCAGAGTGCTTGCAACAGAATATCCAGCAAAAA